CCCCCGCCTTTTTCCCTATCACGCTCACACTCTCTGATGGTTTACCCTCCTCTCTCCACCGATCGGTACGCAGTACACCTAGAGTTGTCAGAACCAAAAATTTTACGGAAACAAATATTTGCACACTTTTGGGCTGGGCGGCTCGTGCCTTTATCTCGTCGCGATAGAGGGGGCCTTGGGCGTGCGGGCGGTTTGTGGTGCTTTGATCTGGTTATTAGCAGATGATACCTTGAAACACTTTATACTTAAATCAAAATAATAATAATTTCAATGTGTCAGCAGCTTTAACTCTCGATAGGGTAAAAGAGTGGAAGCAAACTAAAGGAGAAGAGACCTAGCGCAAACCAGCAATCACAAACATCAACAATAATTTTTGGACGCTATGGGGGACTGGCTGTCGCGCTGAAGCCTCTTGCTTTCGCGTTACCCCCTCCGGCCGTTCTGCCCACCCTCATCTTCTCCTCTGTAGCTAAATATGAGAGAAAATTACAACAACAGACCTATTCTTTCTTTTTAAAAAATGTATTTAAAGTTAGGCTTTTGTGGTCAAACAACCCGCGACAGTGTTTAGCTCGCTCCCTTGTTCTGTCTATCGCAAACCGGAGCTTCAACAGCAAAGCAAACAGTCCCTCCTGCAGGGCGCGCTCCTCCCGCCCTCATCCTCAGGTCCAGCGTGTATCGGCTGCGCTCTTCCGCTGCTCCGCTGTCAGACGGGTGCATTACGTTACTAGTGCGCGAGTATTTACACCCCCCCTCCCCCTCCCCACTTTCCCCCGGGCCGTGTGCCTCTCGTTATCGCTCTATGTCGTCACGGTGACCCTGAGAGCAGCTCTCCTCCGGTTTCTGTCGCCACACATCCTTCTCATGGATGTCGACAGAGCGAAATATTTTGTCCAGGAATTCAATCAATCAGTCCCGCTTGCTTCGCATTCTTTTTTTTCTTTTTTTTTTTTTTAATAATTTACTGTTGTCTGTTTCTCGTGGTGGTGCTGCCTCGGTGGTCGGTGCACCTCTCACTGTGAGTGGTCATGGTCCTGTCGGTACCGCCCGGCTTATCTTATAGGCGTTACGCTGTCCGCCTCGGCCTGGCGCGCTAGCGTCCGCGGGAGCAGGGGAGAGTGAACGGCGCGTATATTTGAAGCAGATGAACACAAGTGTTCCACGTTCGCATTCCGCTCTCCTCTTACCTTCCTTCCACCCTCCTCCTTCCCTCCTCCCTCTCTCCTCCCTCCCTCTTCTCACCCTCCTCCCTCCCTCCCTCCTTCCTCTCACCCTTCCCCCGCTCCCCATACGACCTATTCAGAATACCCTAAATAAAATAGTTCTTTATAAAAAATAAAGATAGGCCTTATACCGCGCATGGCTTAAAGAATGCGCGTCTTTTGTTTTTGTCCTTATTTGCGCTGTTCATTTTTTTAAAGTACCTGTGTCTTGTGTCACGTTTATCTGTAATTTTCTTTATCGTCGCTGATGGATGAGCATTTAATCGTTTTGTGACGTTAGTGGCGTCATCCTCGTGGGGGCTACTTTCCGCAATGTGACTTAAACCTCGCTATCCTGGAGAGGTTTGCGGGGGGGGGGGGAGAGATTGGCTAGTGCGTTGTGGTATCGCGCCGTCCAGATATCGGCGTGCGTCATCGAGACCCAGGCTGCGGCAGATCTGCCCCCCCTTCCCCCTCCCCCCTTGCCGTGCCCGGGCCGCAGGGGGCGGAATGTATGGTTTTGTTCGATGTGAGCCTTAATCTAAAGAGCAAGGAATTTGTGGCCTTAGCTTATTTTTTGCAGCCGTAGCTAATTACTACTCGGTATTCTTGACGCCCGCAATCAATTGCATACGCTGGGAGAGGGGGGGGGGGATGCGTGAGGTGTGGTGCAAGCGCAGTAAGGTCCGTCCATCCGGGTCAGCTTATCAGCGTAGTGCACAGCAGAAATTGTCTCGGTATTGGTAGCTTCGGAATGTTTCACAAAATATAAGGCGAAAGATGAGGAAAACGAGGTTACTTTGTGCCGCATCCGCTCACATTTTGAAGCTGCACACTGTGAAAAATATCTTCGTAAATTTACAGCATAATTAGTACTTTATAAGTTACATAGTCCCCACAAGTCTGGAAAACCTGGAAAGTCCTGCAATTTGGTTGGACTCTCCTGGGAAAATCCAATTTCTAGAATTACATGACTAGTTCATTTTTAATTTTATAGCAAGATGAATTTCAAAACCTGATCTGACAATGTGGAAAGTCACATAAGTTTGTGATCCTCCCACCTCAAGTATGGCGTGAATTTTAAAATTATTTTCAACAGTTTTATCGTTGTCTGACGAGTCTCTAAAATTTCGTTGAAAATGGCCATGGAAATTTTCAAAATTTAGTCTGGAGAGTCCAGGAAAAGTTCTGGAAAACGCCAGGAGCTAAAATGTGGGAACCATGATTTCCGACACACTATTCTTGCTCGTCTATGCATCCAAGTCGATACACACAGTTCTTGTAATTTTACAACACACATCATGGAAAAATTTCCCTGTAACTCACGAGTACTTTTCACGGTGGCGTAGAGTGACTTCACTTTCCATGCATGCAAAAATTGAATTACCTTGAGTTAATTGGTTTTCCTGTCTGTTGGCAGCGATGCGGGCCGGTACAAGCGGCTGCTGTGGCGGGACGTGCGCGTCGGCGACCTGGTGCACCTGTCCAACAACGAGGTGATCCCCGCCGACATCCTGCTGCTGCGCTCCTCGGACCCCAACGGGCTCTGCTACATCGACACCTGCAACCTGGACGGCGAGACTAACCTCAAGCCGCGTCAGGTACTAACTGACTATCAAGTGCCCACGACTTTGAACTTGTTATTTTACTTTCATTTTTTGCGTCTTTTCTATTTTCGTTGATCTGCTTTTAGGTGGTCCGTGGGTTTACCGACAAGCACCGCACGTTCGAGCCACGCCTGTTCCGTAGTAAGGTGGAGGTAGACCCACCCACCACCAAGATGTACCGCTTCCACGGCACCGTCGTGCACCCAACCGGCGCCACCGTCCCCGTCGGCACTGAGAACCTCCTCCTCCGCGAGTGCCTGCTCAAGAACACCGACTTTGTGGAGGGCATCGTCGTTTACGCAGGTTTGTACAGGAGCGCCAAAATGTTGCATCTAAACGTTGGGATTAGTTGAACGTTGCAAGTCTTTCTGTCGGTTTCTACACCTTTCTCATCGAACGTCCGCGCTTAACGTTTCAGGTCACGAGTCCAAAGCGATGTTAAACAATGGTGGCCCAAGATACAAACGATCAAAACTTGAGCGGCAAATGAACACAGACATTATCTGGTGTGTTGTTATTCTGCTTGTTCTTTGTGTGGTGGGCGCAGTGGGGTGCAGGTTCTGGCTACAATACTATGAAGAAGCCTCTCAGCTCGGCGAGAGCATACCATTCATTCCAAATTTAAGTGTAAGATCTCCTGCAACTGAGGGATTTCTCGCATTTTGGACTTTTATCATCATCCTTCAGGTAACAGGAAATGGATCAGTATTAACTAGAACTTTGCTGTATGTGATTTCTGTTCTATATAAAAATAATATTTTTGTTTATTTTTATTTTGTAGATAATGATTCCTTTATCATTGTATGTTAGCATAGAAATGACAAAACTTGCTCAAGTGTATCATATTCACCACAACAAGGACTTGTATGATCCCCTGACTGACAAACGTATTGAATGTAGAGCTCTCAATATCACTGAAGAGCTTGGACAGGTAACTTGCTGAGACTTCTAAATATTTTATGTTGTTTTCTTCATTTGAAAAGCGCTTTATAATGTGTTGGTTTTCCTCAGGTACAATACATTTTTTCTGACAAAACAGGAACTCTGACAGAAAATAAAATGTTATTTAGAAGATGTGCAATTGGAGGAGTAGATTACAATCATCCTCCACCTGAAAATATAGAAGTAAGCATTTTCCTCTTTTTTCCCAATCCAAACTTTCCTCAATTTTTTTGTTTTTGTTTTTTGTAACATTATTTATCTTGTTTGCAGACCCTAAGACTAAGGCCTGGTGTGCCAATACCAGTGACTGTTAATCCTGTTCTCCAAGAAGAATTAGCTCAATTAAATATGCCATTCAAGTCGAAAGATATAAGTGGACTTGGACAAACTTCAGGTTTTGAACTTACCTCTCCACTAAAAGCAAGTGATAGCGCCAAAGATGCTGGTGGAGCAGCTAGTGCAGCTATTGTTGGGCGTTCAGCTCACTCACAAAAGCTGCAGGAATTTCTCCTTGTTTTAGCCATATGTAACACTGTTGTTGTTGCAAGACATCCACATCATGATATGGTATGGTTCAAAATATTTTTTTCACTAAAACATATTAGTTGTAAACTAGACATTTATTGGACCATGAATTTTGTTTTAGATGAATGATAGTGGGGTCATAGAATCGAACCCTGTGCCAAATTTATTTGATCCAAATAATTCAATATCAGTAGAGCCTATTAAAGAGGAAACAACTCCAACAACATCTAAGCATCCTCAAAGCGCTGGAGCTAGAGCAGGAAACTCAAGTAGTAATGTTAATGTTCCTTCTAATGGTGCAAAGTTTCTTTTCCATTCTCAAGAAAACATTTCTCCATCTGATTCTTCTAACCCTAATGTTACGCCCTCAACAATATGTGGGGATAAGTATACAAGACTAACAGAATCTCGGTCTGTGACACCATCTCCTCCCCCTTCATCTGCTCTCCCAACATCAAGTACACCTCAACCAATTCCATCAAAAAGTGCACTTAATCAAATGAGAGCTGCCTCTGTACCAACACCTGTAGACTCCTCTACAGTTATTGGATTTTCAAGTTTAGAAAACACGTCTTTATCAGTACCTACCTCATCTCAAGTACAACCTAGCCCACCACTTTCGAGAAAGAAGAGGTCTGCTCTAAGACCTCGATTGTTGAATGTACCACCATTTATTTCCTTAGGCAATCGACGGGGTAAGTTCTCTTGACTGTGCAAAATTTAATTTATTCACATTATAATACTAATTTTCAGTTTGTGTCCTTATTTTGTTTTTAGGCAGTAGTGCTCCAGCCCTCAGTCAAGGCCGTGGAACTCCTACTATTGGAGATATGAAGCCAATTTATGAGGCTGAAAGTCCTGATGAAATTGCTCTTGTAGAAGCGGCATACAGCTACAACTGTCGACTGGTGCGGAAAACTTCTCATTATGCGACATTGTTTGTGCCAGGTACTAACCCTACAATAATTATAGAATGCCATAAGTTTTATTTATTCGAGTTTCACCTAAGTAATGTCCTTTTTCTCCTCGAAATGTGAAGGTGAAGGTCTGATGGAATTTGAACTTCTTCAACTTCTCCCATTTGATTCTGTGCGAAAATGCATGTCCATTGTGATTAGACATCCTGTAACCCGGGAGATAACATTGTATTCCAAAGGAGCTGATTCCACCATTCTAACCCTTTTGGCTCCTACTGATGATCCTGCTATGAAGCACATTATAATACGAACACAGCAACACCTGAACTCATATGCTAAGCAAGGCTTGCGTGTATTGGTAATGGCCAAGAGAAATATTTCTGAACAATTTTACACCAGCTGGGCTCGCACAAAGTCGGAAGTAGAGATGATCAGTGACCACCGTGAGCGCGAACGGCGGACGCGTGAACTATATAACAGTATGGAAAACTCCCTTGTTCTCTTAGGTTTGTTTGCATATTGGAACTTTTTCCCTAGTTTGATATGTTTAATCTAAATGAAATCCTATACTTAAATCATTTCTGTTTTAGGAGCAACTGGTATTGAAGACAGACTTCAGGAGGGGGTTCCTGAAACAATTGCGGCTCTCCTTAGTGCTGGAATAGTTCTTTGGGTACTGACTGGTGACAAACCAGAAACGGCCATCAATGTAGCATACTCTGCTAAACTGTTTTCTCCACAAATGGAACTTCTCAAGATATCAGCTAGGTCCAAGGAAGCTGCAGAACGAACTATTGCTTTTTATCTTGCAGAGATTGAAAGAGATTCTCCATCTGTGACGTAAGTTCTTATATTGTTGATTTATTTATCAATTTAATGTGTGACATTCACAAATTTGCTGACTTTTCCTTTTCATTCTAGCCCTTCTGTGATGACTGGTGCTCCTACAGTTACTCGAATGCGCGTGGGAGGTGCTGGTATTAGACCCAAGCCTAATGAACGAGTGGATGGAGTTCCTCAACCTCATACCAATGCTCTGTCAATGCCAACTATGTCACATTCAGCTGGAGTTCGGTTGAGCAGAAAGCGAGCTTTGGTTGTAGATGGAAAGTCTTTAACGTAAGTAAATGAATAACAATGGTACAGTCAATGTTTTCTTTCTCTCACATGTCATCAATCTATTATGGTCCTTTAATTTTCAGGTACATCTTGGATAGGCGATCAAAGCTACAAAAACCATTCTTAGAACTAACAAGGCATTGTTCGTCAGTTCTTTGCTGCCGTGCCACGCCTTTACAGAAGGCCTACATTGTGAGGGTTGTGAAAGAACAACTTAAAATGAGGACTTTAGCTGTTGGGGATGGAGCCAATGATGTGTCAATGATTCAGACAGCAGATATTGGGATTGGTATCTCAGGTCAAGAAGGAACACAGGCTGTCATGGCATCTGACTTTGCTCTGTCTCGATTCAAATACTTAGAAAGGTTCTTACTTGTTCACGGGCATTGGTGCTACCATAGACTGGCTTCTATGATTCTCTACTTTTTCTACAAAAATGCTGTGAGTGTAAATGTGTGTGGTTCATGTCCTGGAATGCATTTGTATAACAACATACTAACAATATATATCTTATCTACTCATTTCAGACATTTGTGTTTCTTATATTTTGGTATCAACTTTACTGTGGATACTCCGGCCAAATTATGCTTGATGACATGTTTTTAATGTTGTTCAACTTATTGTTTTCTTCACTTTCTCCTTTTGCGATTGGTATGAAAACCATTGAACTCAAAGCTCAACACTATGTATTTTTATGAACTTAAAACATAAATTCCTTGTGGTTGTTTTGTTTGTTCTTTGTAGGTATTTATGATCAGGATGCACCAGAGGAAATCCTATTGGCTCAGCCCCACCTGTACAGACAAGGAAGATTGGGGAGGGTTTACAAGCCCCATTCATTCTGGGTTACTATGGCTGATTGTCTGTATCAGAGCTTAGTGGTTTTCTTTGTAGCAAGAGGGGTATGTTATTATTCACTGTATACTTTGTATGTACATTTCATTCAAAGTTGTATTTGGTGCTGTCGCCCAAAATATTGGAGATCGTTTCCATTGGCAATATCTTTATTTGAAGTTTTGTTATTGTGATCAATGGCAGGAAAGAGAGGTCATCTTCAGAATTTTGAATGAAACTCATAATTAATTAAGTGTTTGTTGATAGACAATTAGCATGTGGTGTTGTCACATCTTATGATTAAGACATCTAATTTCCTACAATTTTTTTTTACAGCACTAATTTTTTTAAAATGTTCTCCTTGTTTTGCAGGCTTTTAATGATTCTGATGTTGGACTTTGGCAGTTTGGCACAACTGTCACCACTTGTTGCATGTTTATCATGCTGCTTCAAGCTGCCATTGAAATTCGTTCTTGGGTATAAAGATGACAACTCTTATAAAATGTGTGTTTTGTCATTTTTTGTCAACACATTGATAGATATTTGTAATCCCCTTTTCCAGACTATTATTCATCTTGCTGCGATAATACTATCGTTGGTGATTTACTTCGCTTTTATGATCATCTATAACTCCATCAGACTCCCCTATTTAGGCTATTCTACAAGCTATGGTGCAGTACTTCATGCCTTTGCCTCTCCAGAGCATTGGGGTGTTGTTGTGTTGTCTGTAGTGACAGCTCTACTGCCAAGGTATATTATTCTTTTGGAATACCATGTACAGCAGTAGGTTCCTGTATGCTATTTTAATTGACTGCCTCTTACTATTCAGATTTGTGATGCGTTGCTTGGAAACTCGACTGTTCCCCAATGATGTGACAAAGGCTCTAATAGACTGGCGTCGGGCTCGTCGCCGAGGTGAGGATATGCTGGTTTCTTGGTCCAGGTCAACTTCAGCATCGTCGGTGTTCAGGTACTTCTGCAGCGCTCTACTCACATTGCATGTCTACAGTGAATCGCACACCACACCCATCAGCACGTGTGTATTCTTTGTCATGCTGGAACATTCATTTCATTTGCGTACTAACTCATAAATTCTTTAAGATTGTCATATTTTTTAGAGATCTTATCTAATGGAGCTGTGTTGATTAAATCAATCACCTCTCCACCCCCCACAAAGAAAAAGATAGGAGATAAACTTTGTCAGGGGTGATTCAATTTTTCAGTTATTCTTTTTGCTTTGCTTTTAAGCACCTGTGTCCTATGTGTTCAGCATGTTTGTCTTAGTGTGTGGTGTGGTGTGGTGCTGAGGGAGCTCTGCAGTTGCAGTTACCTAATACCAGAAACTGAAATTGTTTGATCTGTCAAGCACTTTTTAATTGTGTTGTTTCTTTTATGTTTGTTTTTTTCTTCTAAGTACTATCTTTACATCTATTATTCAAAAATTCTATCACTTAATTCTACATTTTTGTTTGTTCTGCTTGCAGATCGACGGTAGAGCCAGTGAAGAAATGTACGTATGTAAATCCCTTAACTACTGTTGGATGACATTTGGCCTCCAGTAATGCTGAACACAACATTGTTCCATTACGAACTTTTACTCTCAATAATACGCTTACTCCAATAGCGTGAATGCCAAAATAGAGTGCCTTCACCAGGTGCTAAGTGTTCTTGCAGATACTTGAGCGCTCTTATTTATACTACTCTTTTACTGTACTAAAGGTTTACAAAGTAGGTTTGTGCTTTACACCTCTTTCATGTAAAAGAAAAGTGTGACTGTAAAGATAATTGGTTTTATTTTTGTTCATTTATTTTCTAAGAAAAGATAATTACTATCAACTTATTGACTGCTTTTAGGATGAGACCACTTGCTATTGGTGGTCCATTCTCCACTTCAATCTTGCCATAATCATAAGCATTGGGTATGTAGATTAGTGCTCTTGACTAAATGAGTGTTCTATTGCAAGGATCTCAGGTTTGTGCAATGAAAGAGCATCTGCTGGTTTATTTCAGTGATTTTCGGCATGGCTTCCTGCATGCCTGTGTGATAGTGTTCAGGACTATTCCTCCTATATTTTGTATGATAACTTTTAAATGATTGACCATGTGATTATGCAGTTCTACTTCTACCTCTTGTGTAATTACTGATTTATTTTGGGCATAAAGTATAAGTTGAGGACACAAACTAATGGCTGTGTAATAGTGTAATAAATATGCTTGCTGCTGCTTTCACCGTAGGCCATCAGTTGGGAGGTGAAAGCATATCCGGCCAGCATATTTTCTGCACTTATGATTAGTGTAATAATTTAAACTCTAATTAGTATCTAATTGTTCTGCTTATTGCATTGAAAAGTTGATTATTTGCTGGCCATCAATGCCTGACCAAATATTTTTATGTATCAGAGTCTTCTTGTAAATGATTTTGTTCCTGTAACATTCCTTTTACTGACAAAAGAAAAGTTATGCACAACTGAAATAGAAAGTAAACAAACTCCTTTTTATTTGTTTCATGTTATCTTTTTAGTCCTGTTCCTCAAACAGTCTACCTTTGAACAAATGTAAAAGATGATGACTTAGTAGTGAGGCTCTTGTGAAGTTTATGTGATAGTTGGATGGTTTCATTAATTAGAGCGCTTCAGATATTGTAGGTTGTATGTTATGTAGAATGTCTAGAGGGTTAATAATCATATAATATACAAGGCTCTTAGACATTTCATTTAATTGGTCTGTATGAAAACAATATGTCACATATCAAGCTTGGTATTGCCCTGTATTATCACTTTTTTAGTTCAGTTGGGATACCCTTGTAAAGTTTAACTGCTTTCCTAAAACACTACATGTAGGTAGATTATTTTACAATTTTGTTATTTTTGGTGCAATGACTTCTTTATCAATTTATAAGCATAATTTCATTTTCATGCCATATATAGATGTATTTTTCTAGTTCAAATGGCAAGTATTGCCTCTTGCAATATGTGTGTTCTATTGTGGTAATTCTTCCAGTTGATCTGTTATCTTTGGAGTATGTCCTGCATATTTATTATTGAACTTCTGTTGATGTAGTTCTTAACCTTTTAATGTGCTTTATCAAGGCAGTACTCTCAACTTACTGTTGCCAGACACCTACCAAAGAGAAAGGTTTAAAATAATGTACGGTTCTGAAATTGTGTGACCTAGTGTCGTTAATGTAGGAAATCAGAAGTGTGTATTCTTAAAATTATTTTTTATCAAATCAAAAACATGTTCAGTATGCTAATTCTTATTATAAAAGACAATGTGCTTCAGGACACCTTACAGAAGTGCCATTCAATCTTAGTGTGTAAAATATGGAATCAATTTTATCTGTATGTGTTGTACAATATGTGATTTAACACTGATTAACTTTTTGCAGGATATCTGAGAAAGTTTTGTGTAGGTGATCTTTGGTAAAAAAAAAATCCTCAAAATTGGTCTCCTGTTCATCCTGTAGCTATTCCCCAAAACAGGGACCACTTTTTATCTGTTGTTTTAAGGCTGAGAATTGTGTTGTGGAATATAGATTCTAACTATGTTGTTTTAGTAAAATATTTATTGGAGAGATAGGAAAAAGGGCTTATACTGAATGAAGACATGACCAAGTTATATATACCTGGTCGTAATTACTTTAATTTTGAGTCTTGATCTAATTACATGAAAACTTTGAATAATTTATGTCCATAATTGTGAAAGAATTCCACTCTGAGCTGTCAATTAGTATCACCATGTGCTGGCACAGTGTATGTTTGTTTGTCAATCAGTTTAGTGCCCTTTAAGTTGTATTGTATTTCTTAACAACAAAGTCAGTATACTGTCTGAACATTCTCCTGCCTCAAATTCTTTTTGTTTGCTTTCTAAAACTATAAATTGTTATATTTCTAGAATACATTTTTGTATTTCATCTGTTTTATCTGGTCCTGTGCCCTTCATTTACGCTTGTATTGAAAACTTGAGGTATCGTTTGATTGCCTTTCTCATTCATAAGAGATCATTTGGATTATCTTTTGTTTTTCATGATCTAGTATAATGTGGTATGATGATTAATTGGTGCATACTTTATCAACAAATTATGCTAATAATTGGTATTGTGGGACCATTGGGACCAATTATCAATTTTTATGTCATGACTGTCAATGTCACTGTACTCACTGTCAAGTTCTGTATATACAGTCTAATGAAAAGGATATATTTATACTACCTCTTCAGACATTACTCTTCAAATTTTGCATTATGATATCTTCAAAGAATCAATGTGACAATCTGTTAGTTCAAGTTGGACATCTCTTGTTTTGTCCCGTATAAATCCTGGCATTTGAAGCAGTACTATCAATTGGTATTTGCGAAGGTATTCAATAAAATGACTCTGAAGGTGACTCTATTTGGGTTTTTTCTACCACTTTACTACCCATTCTCTTTCCAAAGGAAAACCTCTAGTACCTCAATCTACTCAAGGACAATCCACAATGACAGGTGCTTGGGTGCATTATTCTAGCAAATTTGTTTATGGTCTTTTCAGCATTCACTCTGTGGTGAGAGTATTCTGATGAGATGAGCTGTGAAATTACACAGTATGAGCTGAGACTAGAGGTATTTTATTTATCTCTACATAATTCAAAGCATTGTTCTCACTTAGTGCACTCCGGGTGTCCGTAGGAATACGCGACAGCTCGATGGGTTGCCTACGCACTAGCCTGCAGGCGCGGAGAGCGAGGGGGGAGCGGTGGAGGTGCGCACCATCCAGCGAATTCCGAACCGACTATAGAGGCGCCCTTTCGGACCAAATTATTTTTCAAAGAATGTG